AAAATATTGTCAAATCCAACTTTAGTTGAAGAAAAAAGTTCAACCAGAAATCGGTTTTTCAAATTTTATTGACAGTTTCAGAGCAGGACAGTTTGATCGTGTTTAAAGTTTTAATATTTTGGACAGTTCTTTAAATATTTCATTACAAGTGTTACAAAGATTTCATTAAAGGGATTGTAAAGATGTTTTCTAAACTTTTATTTGCAACAGGGACTGACAAACAAAATGCTTCCAACGAGTAACGTATCAAACAGTGTTCATATTCGATGAAGCGTCATCATTTGCTGCACTCATAAATTGAACATTTCTCTATTGCCTTTTATAATGGTCCCCTTGATGCTGTTTTTTAATTTTATACCCAAAGTGTATGAAGCAAACCAAAGGACACCAAGTAACTTACGTTACCTTTTTGGGTATCTGTGGTCAAGTGGTAGTTTCATGAAAACCGTTCAAAAAGTTATGATGAAATCAATTTAATCGTGTTCTGCAATGATTCAGCTATATAAATTGGTATACTGTTACAATTTTCCAGCACATTTATTTTAGTATGTACATGTCACACTTAAGCAACTCAGTATTGTAATTCTACATATATTGATAAATGAATAATAAAACAAAGCTGTAGACATTAGAATGTAAAATAAATAAATTATAAAACAAAGCTATAGAAATTAGAATGTAAGATAAAGAAATAATAAAACAAAGCTATAGAAATTAGAATGTAAGATAAAGAAATAATACAACAAAGCTATAGACATTGGAATGTAAAATGAATAAATAATAAAACAAAGCTATATACATTGGAATGTAAGATAAATAAATAATAAAACAAAGCTATATACATTGGAATGTAAAATAAATAAATAATAAAACAAAGCTATAGACATTAGAATGTAAAATAAATAAATAATAAAACAAAGCTATAGACATCAGAATGTAAGATAAATAAATAAGAAAACAAAGCTATAGATATTAGAATGTAAGATAAATAAATAATAAAACAAAGCTATAGACATTAGAATGTAAAATAAATAAATAATAAAACAAAGCTATAGGCATTAGAATGTAAGATAAAGAAATAATAAAACAAAGCTATAGAAATTAGAATGTAAGATAAAGAAATAATAAAACAAAGCTATAGAAATTAGAATGTAAGATAAAGAAATAATACAACAAAGCTATAGACATTAGAATGTAAGATAAAGAAATAATAAAACAAAGCTATAGATATTAGAATGTAAGATAAATAAATAATAAAACAAAGCTATAGATATTAGAATGTAAGATAAATAAATAATAAAACAAAGCTATAGATATTAGAATGTAAGATAAATAAATAATAAAACAAAGCTATAGACATTAGAATGTAAGATAAATAAATAATAAAACAAAGCTATAGACATTAGAATGTAAGATAAATAAATAATAAAACAAAGCTATAGAAATTAGAATGTAAGATAAATAAATGATAAAACAAAGCTATAGAAATTAGAATGTAAGATAAAGAAATAATAAAACAAAGCTATAGATATTAGAATGTAAAATAAATAAATAAAACAAAGCTATCGACATTAGAATGTAATATAGAAAAAAATAATAAATAAAAGCTATAGACATTAGAATGTGAGGTAAAAAATTCACAATATTCTATCGAAATTCTAGTACGAGTTACTTCCATTGAGATGGAAATTTCCCCTCGTGTCAGTTCACCTGGCTATAATACATAAAAGTAACTGAAATAGGTCATGCTAAAAGGCTGATAAAAGTTGTCTTATTTTAATTGTCCATCATAGAAAGTGAACTTGTTTCCGGCGTGTGAACATTGGCAATGATTTTCGATAGGGATAATACATTACAGTTTTGAAATATTGTTGAATATTGTAATACATAGATCGAGTACAATCCTCCACAGTGTAAATTTGTAGTCTTTTCTCTCATTAGATTATTATTCACTGTTAGGTAAACATCATGGTTACAATACTTTGCACATTTTGTTTCATTCTTCTCTTACCATCTTCAGATTAAAGATTAAATATCAATAGACTCGTATCCCAGTAGCAGCACCTGGCTCCCTGAGGACAGACAGACTGTCGAGGCTAAATTCAAAATTCTGCATCTCTGCGGAGTTGACTTGGATTGGTGCAATTATGACACATATGGGGACAAAAGTATAAAAATCGTATTTTCAAATTTGTTAAAGATAACGTGGGGGTACCAATTGGGCAAATGCCCACTTCCCTTCTGTACCCCCAGTGGCGTCGCCACTGCGTATCATATTAATCACTCTATATAACAATTTCAGATCTTTATCATCTTCCACATCATTATTCTGAAAATATTATTGTGATATCATTTTTAGTTGCAAGTAATAGTTTATTGCCTTTCTTAGTTTATCTATTTAGATTATCATAATGGTTTACCATCATCTATATTAGCATCGTTTCTATCAACATTAGAACTATTATTTGATTGTATTCTAGCTGTATTGTTGACTCTAATTCTTGATATGTTTGTGTGTCATTTAAACAGACAAAAACTAACTTTATTCCCTTCCAGTATCTACCATCCAATGATTAATACAAGTCGATCAATCCTTTATTAATATCATCTTCAAATCCCTCAAGTTTCATTTTATCAACCATAATTGTAAAACACATAATTAGGAAAGACAATTTTCATTTTAAGTAATATATTGAAACATTCTTTTTAGTAAATGGAGTGATAACATGATTTGACCGTTCATATTTTTGCATTCATTTTTTTATTATCATGTTAAAATCAATACATTGATTTGTTCAAACAAAATGATCTAGACATAGTCATTAATTTGAAATAAAATTACCTGCTCTTGATCTGATATTAAAACTATCATATACAGATATAGGTTATAAGTCTCGCCACCATCTCCACATTTTTGGAGGCTGATGTAGAAACTAATGTTATGGGTGAATGAGTTTTAGATATCTCAATTGCACAATACGTGCAGTTTTAATGCATTCAATTATACCTTACTTTTTACATTACAATAACCCTTTTTAAAGAACACATCCTTACTTAAATCAGATAATACAACACAATACTAATTTTTACACTCAATCCAATACTAGGAGAAAAATATTGAGAAACATACCAGAAGATAGCTTGCCATGGAAGGTAAAATACGCCCACTGGAAGCTGTCAGAAATGATTAAACAGTCTTTAGTGACTAAAGTATGAATTCGCTCATATTAAAGAAATTGTAATAGTTTGAATTCAATGATATATATATTTACTGCCAGTTATTTATGCTAAATAATTCCACCAAATTTTATAAAATCATTATCAATAACCCAAATACATCAAATTATCTCATCAATATACAAGATCACACCATGTTTCATTAAAATCAATTGAAAACCGTAGTCTCTAATGTGTTCACAAGCAAATTTTGACAGGTCAAGGGCAATAACTCAAAAACCGTTCATTGAAATATCGTCAAATTCAAACTCGCATTAAAATCAGCTGAAAACTGTAGTCTCTATTGTGTTCACAAGAAATGTTGACGGACCAACGCACCGAAGGGCAGGGACGACGGCAACATAGGTTCACATTTCTATGTGGGCGTATAAAAACTGAAGCATAACTGCTGAAATTGAAAACTACCTAGTACAATTTGAACATTCAACCACTGAAGCACTACAGACATGATTGAGTGCACAAGAACTGAATCAAACCTGTTACAAAACTAGAAGTTCAGTAGGCTAATGGAAGTCAAAACAAGTGATAGTTTTAATGTTTCACAACAGGCAGCTGTATTAAAATTGGATGATAACGACCACTCACACCAAGTTTCCTCAAAATTCGTCAAGAATTGTGCCTTCTTGAGTATTCACAAGCTAAAAATTGAACTCGTTCTCAAGAACAGGGACAGGAACTCCTACTAAATATTTTTTGATTTTTCTGATTTTGAATAGGGTTCATCCTTGGGTGATAACGAACACTCACACCAAGTTTCGTCAAAATCCGTCAAGAATTGTGCCTTTACGGGCTAAAAATTGAACGTGTTTTCAAGAACAAGGGCAATAACTCATTCTCAATATTATTCGATTTTTCTGATTTTGAATAGGGTTCATCCTTGGGTGATTATGAACACTCACACCAAGTTTCGTCAAAATCCGTCAAGAATTGTTCCTTCTATAGTGATAATGAGCTAATAAATGAACGCGTTTTCAAGAACAAGGGCAATATCTCTATTCTTCGATTCTTCATGAAAATATTCGATTCACAAAGATATGTTGCAAGTGATAATAAAATCGTTTTTAGTAAAAGTAACATATTTAAGTTGTTCCTGATTTTTGACATTGTCCTGTAATGAAATAAAAGCCTTTAAGCAAGAAAAACGATATATTTGTAGAGCTAAATAAGGTGCAGTAATATGTGAGATGTAAAACACTTAGTAGGGTCGGTGTTTGTGTAATCGATTTTCACTATAGCTTTTGACATTATATGTTTTATGAAGGATTGTAGTTATTGAGGAGATGCAGCTTTATTCTCTTCAAGAAACTATACCTTGCAACAATACGAAATTATTTAAACAATATAACTGTTAGTTTTAGTTGTACCAATTGGTGGTTTCATTACTTTACTAGAATTACAACTATAAATACCGCCTTGATCTCAATACTGGTTTATACTTGCATCGTCTGGTTTAGACTGGATGACTGAACCAGTTTGTCTGACCTAATAATATCTATCCTGCTTGTAGATACTCCAACTTCAGGACCATCAAACAAAAAAGACGAATTATTATTCCAATTTCAATTATGTAGTATATTTATACAAATATCTGTCCAGAGCACATAGAACATTTCTTAGAGGTAATATATTGCATAGTATGTAGTGAGAAACAATTCTTACATAAAACTGTAACATCAATTCCTGTACTAGTTTGTTGGACATGATACTGTGATATTGGAACTGTAGAACCAACTTATTGTATCTTTATTCCATTTATATATAACTCAACTACCATTAGGATTAGTTACAGAACACTTTAATTCTACTGTATTACCTTCTATTATTTTATAGTTACCAAATACTTCAGGTTCTAACGACAGAAATGTAAAGTATACTTCACTTATCTGTAAAATAAAAATATATACTTCTTTTATCTAAAAACAGAAATATCTCTTTGCTTAGATACTGTATCAATATGTATAGTTACACTAGTAGTTGTTTTAGATACTGTATAGAATCGGTATAGTTGTTTGATGGTCCAGGATTTAGGATATTTATTTTTTAACATGGCCTAGAATCGAAAGATAATATTCAACAGGAACTGTCTATTACACTGTTATAATATCTGGTAACACTACCAGATTAAGATTCACCAAGAAATATAGAAAACCTAGTCGAAATCACAATACACAATTGACGCTACTAAAATGTATACGATTAGAAATGGATTTGCTAGGATGTAAAAAAAAAATGCACATTGACGCTACAATAAATGTACTTCTTGACTTGAAAATGAACCTGATAACTTAAAAAATATATACCAAATGTTGTTTTAGTGAACAACTTTTAACAGTAATCAGTAAGTGTTTAATACTTTGTATAAAAGGTATAATTATATTCTATACATGTATTAAGTAATCACATTAAAAATCTTTCTTTAATAGACCATGCAATTTATATAACGAGATATTTTCATGTCACGTTATTTCAAGAAATATAATTTATAAATATACTGAGTTGTGAGAACATGTACCTAACATTGTCGAAATACTTACACATGATAAACAAAGGAATTATATGGTGATATGTAAAGCTTTGGCTGTCAGTCTATGAAAAGGTCTGATCAACTTGCAAATATGATAGAAGTGAATTGACGTGTTCATCTAGCAGGTAGAAAACATGTAATGAAAATTTCTCTCACAGGCTAGGCATCCGCGTTAGCTTCATTCGGACTAATAATACGGCCTAA